TTCTACCTCAGTAGGAAACATGGGAGAAAAAGGAGTGTTGGGGAACCTAGATAAGAACAAAGAGTCTAATTTTATTTCCTTACAGAATTGCAAAAAGACAGAACGCAGAAGGCCTGTCTCTTAGGCAACAACATGACAATTGACGTCACTACAGAGTGCTGCAACTTGATAAATACCTCAGACACCAAGCACTCTTGAGGACATCGTTTTAAGTTATTCAAAACAAGAGAACGGAGTTATAATTTCATGCTGCAACTTGGGAAAGATAGAGCTACCTCAAAGCTGGCAGTACTCTAGAGAGCTGACAGACATCTGCCACGGAAACAATTATTTAAGTGTAATGCTGTGGGATACAGATAATGCCTTTAAGCAGCGACTATGGAACCACATATTGCACAATTAAATATCCATAATGGGAGAAAGTTTAGCTTTCTATCAACTAATAACCAACTCAGGAACGGTACAAGTATTAGAATGACACAGTACTAAGACAAATCAAAACATTTTTTTTTTAATATATAATGTAAAACAAACAAAAAATTAAATCAATGGAGAAGTGAGAATTAGTCTGATTTTTCCAAGGAAATCGTACTCATTAGAAGCACAGTCAGTCCCACAACAGCAGCTCCCCAACACATTTAAGAGGTTCATACATGGACCATTACATTTTAAAAAGCACAACGCTTGTTCCACGCCACCATGAAACGGAGAGTACTTCTGACTCTGGAGAAGAACGCCGACAAAACACAGGAGTACACCCATCACACTTCTCGATCACAATAAAGTAGAATGTTCTTCAAGTGCTTACCCCAAGCAAGGTGAAATCCCTTTCTGAAATATTTTCTTGGTTAAACTCTCTCACTTAGACATCTAAGGCCTCTAACCACAAGACAACCACAGAAATACATCAAAGTAAAGAGATGTTTTCAGCAGCACCACATTATTTCAGCTGAAACATAAATCAGATCTTAAGCGTAGATCAGTCAAACGTGGGAAATTTCAATGCAGGGCATTAGACAGCAAATTTGCATTGCACTACTTATTTTAAGGGACAACCACCTTGTTATAAGCAAGTTTCAACTGAGAGGAGTTCCTTTCTTCTTGAGTTCCACATAGTCCACCATGGCCCAGTTTTTAGAGAAATTATTTCTATCGAAGTGTAAAAAACACTCTCTGTCTTTCCTTCCCTCTTCTGGCTTCTGATGAAGAGGTTTCTTTAAACCACACATCGTAAAAAAGAAAAAAAAATTTCAAGGCAGAAAAATACAGCTCCTACTGAAGCATGCTGAGGAGGGTGACACCATGCCAAAAACAAGCTCCTCCTATTTATGGGCTCCATCAGCTCCTCGTTGGATATGCATGGGTTTGTTAACCTTTGAGAAATCATGTGCACTCTCCTTTTCAGCTCCTTCCAAAGTATAACTGGTTAGCTAATCCACATTGCACTGAAAACTACTGTATTTTTCCAAGAACCTATGTGAACTACAGGAATACTTTCCATGTATAGTTTTCATAGAATCATGGAATGCTTCGGTTTGGAAGGGACCTCAAAGATCATCTAGTTCCAACCCTCCCTTGCCATGGGCAGGGACACCCTCCACTACACCAGGCTGCCCAAAGCCTCATCCATCCTGGCCTTGAACACTTCCAGGGATGGGGCATCTACGACTTTTGAGCTCTTCAAAATGAGATGACATTCTCTATTGTGTTGGGTTTATGTGGTGGGGTTTTGAGTAAAGGGAGAAGGGCTGCAGAGATGGCCCCTGTAAGGAGATGGGAGAAGCTTCCTGAGCTCCAAAACCTGTCAGACCAGTCTCCAGCCACGTCAGACCCACCTCTGGCCAGGGCCAAGCTGATCAGCACCTCTGCAAATGCCATATTTAAGAAAGGGACAAAGTTTTTTTTTATTGCCCGGAGCCATGGTTGGTGGGTGATGCCTTCCCCACCGTACCTCGACCCTCAGGTCCTTTGTTACATTTTTCTCCTTTCCACCCCATGGGGACAGGGAGGGCCACAGGGAAGGAGGGAGTGAGGGGCTGCATGGTAGCTTAGCTGCTGGCTGGGCTAAATCGCAACACTCATTTATGAAAAGAAAGGATTTTCTTGCTCTTCAAGATCAGCAACAAAGGATGAAAATAAAGTTCAGTGTATGCTACACTCCACAGCTGTAGTATTTGCTCGGAGTAGCTGACAAATACAGCTGTGCTGCACCACAGCTGGTGAAAACACCACAACAGAGCACGACTAAAGCACTCTCACCCCAAGTGAGAGCTGGAGAGGTGCACGCCCACAAAAATCTCGGTATTATTTCCAAGATATCCCTGCTACCTATTGCCCTAGGACGACAACCAAACAAAAAAGAGATGTGACCACCTCAGCACAGGCAGCGCACTCTTGTATTTCTCTATTCATTCTCTGACCTTTACTGAATCCAGAAAATTTCTTTGAAATCAGTAAGCAATACATCAATAATTGTGATTTATTTGCACATGTTCTCAATAAATGGGAGAGGAAACCCAAAGACACCAGCGCATTTTTCACAGGAGGCTGAGGTAGCAATCAACCAGAGCTCACGTTTTCACCTATTTTTAACAACTTCCAAAACCAAGAGGCAATTCAATCATTGAAAGTTGGGGTGACAAGAACAGCAACAAAAAACCACAATAAGGGACAATCTAGTGTGTGTAGACCACAGCAAAGAGACTGAGATGACTATCAGGTAATGGCATGAGTCAGCCAGCATCTTGGCTCCATGAGTTGAGTCAATTTTCAACAATGCATCTGGCCTTAGCTGAACAATACAAGGCACAAGTTCTGCCCAAGCGAGAAGTCTTTATTAAAAGCCATGTGCTGAAATACTTGTATTGAGGTCTGAAACACCAGCTCATGCAATTATACTGGAACTCATTTTATGGGGAGGCTGGAAGGGTAATGAAGGGATTTTTCTGGTCCCCCAACAGATCAGAGAAATCCCTTGTTCAGTGTCTAAACAGAGAAGTCTTTTTAATTACAGTAAATCCTATTAAACTGATCTTCCTTATAAAGGGCTGAAGTGACCAACTCCAAAAGGCTATAGGAGACATAATGAATTCAGAGTTTAATTAGGACAAACTGTTCGCTAACAATAATCTATTAATTAGCATTCTTAGTTTTTACGGCTCATTGCAATAATACCCTTTTACTTTTAAATTGCACCCTTCTTTTCTGGACCAAAGTTATACAATTCTACCAGTGTGGTAGTAATTACAGTGATTGCCTAGAGAACAGCAGCCTGGAAAAATCTGTAAATGTTTAATTAGGGGATAAAGGAAAGACAAGGAAAAAAAAAAAAATCCTCGGATAGAGGAATCACTGTTCCCAATTTATACATATTTAGCAAGAGCTTAATCCATCCTAAACCACACATTCATTGCATTTTGCTTACAAGATTTCCACAGCATCCTCAAATGTCAAAACTGATTTCAGAAAAAAAATATTATATTCCAAGACATTCTCTTCAGTACGAAAACAGAACTTAAAAATGAAAAGAATTTGAAAATTAAAATACTTACCTGCAGCTGAAATACAAACAACATCAGAAAGTTGAGTGAATGGTATTCCATGTATTCATTATACTGGTACTGTACCACTATAACTACGATTTTCACTGGATTACTCCTACTGGATTACTCCTACTGGATTTTTCACTGGAAATCCTACTTTTGTAATAAAAATTATTTAACTTTAGATTTTCTTCGCTCCAAGAAGACATATGAAAATGAATAAGAAATGTCACACACATTAACAAATACCATGTACTGATACTTTCCATTCAGTAAGGACACAGCCATAAAACTACACGACAAGTTCACTAAATTATTTCATACTAACTCAACTTAATTTCTTCAACTCAGTTCTTTAAAAAGTGCAAAGTAAATCGCAGACAGCTTCAGTGTAGTAGATTATCTCTAACCCAAAGGAATCTGCTGTTTAAGACAGGTCACCTGAAAGCAGAATAAGATGTCAAGTACTACTAGCACTATTTTTTCCTCCAGCAGTTTCCCCTCTCTCCACCTTCTAAAGCAAACCTCAAAAAAAGTGCTGCCTAAAATAGCAAGTACACCTTAAGAACTCCACGCTTGAATTATGGAAACTATTTCATTAA